AAAAAACTTTGAATGCCTCTAGGGGCCAAAGTATAATATGTGGCGAAAAACAGACTTCACCATTGGAATCAGCGTCCAAAACTGTACCCATGGACCAGTTTTTATGAAAATCTAAGGGGGTCCCCCTCCGCCCCAAAAAACTTTGAATGCCTCTAGGGGCCAAAGTATAATATGTGGCGAAAAACAGACTTCACCATTGGAATCAGCGTCCAAAACTGTACACATGGACCAGTTTTTATGAAAATCTAAGGGGGTCCCCCTTCCCCCTAAACAAACTTTGAATGCCTCTAGGGGCCAAAGTATAATATGTGGCGAAAAACAGACTTCACCGTTGGAATCAGCGTCCAAAACTGTACACATGGACCAGTTTTTATGAAAATCTAAGGGGGTCCCCCTTCGCCCCAAAAAAAACTTTGAATGTCTCTAGGGGCCAAAGTATAATATGTGGCGTAAAACAGACTTCACCATTGGAATCAGCGTCCAAAACTGTACCCATGGACCAGTTTTTATGAAAATCTAAGGGGGTCCCCCTCCGCCCCAAAAAACTTTGAATGCCTCTAGGGGCCAAAGTATAATATGTGGCGAAAAACAGACTTCACCATTGGAATCAGCGTCCAAAACTGTACCCATGGACCAGTTTTTATGAAAATCTAAGGGGGTCCCCCTCCGCCCCAAAAAACTTTGAATGCCTCTAGGGGCCAAAGTATAATATGTGGCGAAAAACAGACCGCACCATTGGAATCAGCGTCCAAAACTGTACACATGGACCAGTTTTTATGAAAATCTAAGGGGGTCCCCTTCCCCCAAAAAACTTTGAATGCCTCTAGGGGCCAAAGTATAATATGTGGCGAAAAACAGACTTCACCGTTGGAATCAGCGTCCAAAACTGTACACATAGACCAGTTTTTATGAAAATCTAAGGGGGTCCCCCTTCGCCCTAAAAAACTTTGAATGCCTCTAGGGGCCAAAGTATAATATGTGGCGAAAAACAGACTCCACCATTGGAATCAGCGTCCAAAACTGTACCCATGGACCAGTTTTTATGAAAATCTAAGGGGGTCCGAATGTGATTCTGAAAGTGAATCTGAATGCCCTAGGGGCCAAAGTATAATATGTGGCGAAAAACAGACTTCACCATGGGAATCAGCGTCTAAAACTGTATACATGGACCAGTTTTTATGAAAATCTAAGGGGGTCCCCCTTCCCCCCAAAAAAAACTTTGAATGCCTCTAGGGGCCAAAGTATAATATGTGGCGAAAAACAGACTTCACCATGGGAATCAGCGTCCAAAACTGTACACATGGACCAGTTTTTATGAAAATCTAAGGGGGTCCCCCTTCACAAAAAAAACTTTGAATTCCTCTAGGGGCCAAAGTATAATATGTGGCGAAAAAAAAGACTTCACCGTTGGAATCAGCGTCCAAAACTGTACACATGGACCAGTTTTTTTATGAAAATCCAAGGGGGTCCCCCTTCGCCCCCAAAAAAAACTTTGAATGTCTCTAGGGGCCAAAGTATAATATGTGGCGAAAAACAGACTTCACCATTGGAATCAGCGTCCAAAACTGTACACATGGACCAGTTTTTATGAAAATCTAAGGGGGTCTCCCTTCCCCCAAAAAACTTTGAATGCCTCTAGGGGCCAAAGTATAATATGTGGCGAAAAACAGACTTCACCGTTGGAATCAGCGTCCAAAACTGTACACATGGACCAGTTTTTATGAAAATCTAAGGGGGTCCCCCTTCGCCCCCAAAAAAAACTTTGAATGCCTCTAGGGGCCAAAGTATAATATGTGGCGAAAAACAGACTTCACCATTGGAATCAGCGTCCAAAACTGTACCCATGGACCAGTTTTTATGAAAATCTAAGGGGGTCCGAATGTGATTCTGAAAGTGAATCTGAATGCCCTAGGGGCCAAAGTATAATATGTGGCGAAAAACAGACTTCACCATGGGAATCAGCGTCCAAAACTGTACACATGGACCAGTTTTTATGAAAATCTAAGGGGGTCCCCCTTCCCCAAAAAACTTTGAATGCCTCTAGGGGCCAAAGTATAATATGTGGCGAAAAACAGACTTCACCGTTGGAATCAGCGTCCAAAACTGTACACATGGACCAGTTTTTATGAAAATCTAAGGGGGTCCCCCTTCGCCCCAAAAAAACTTTGAATGTCTCTAGGGGCCAAAGTATAATATGTGGCGAAAAACAGACTTCACCATTGGAATCAGCGTCCAAAACTGTACCCATGGACCAGTTTTTATGAAAATCTAAGGGGATCCCCCTTCGCCCCAAAAAACTTTGAATGCCTCTAGGGGCCAAAGTATAATATGTGGCGAAAAACAGACTTCACCATTGGAATCAGCGTCCAAAACTGTACACATGGACCAGTTTTTATGAAAATCCAAGGGGGTCCCCCTTCCCCCAAAAAACTTTGAATGCCTCTAGGGGCCAAAGTATAATATGTGGCGAAAAACAGACTTCACCGTTGGAATCAGCGTCCAAAACTGTACACATGGACCAGTTTTTATGAAAATCTAAGGGGGTCCCCCTTCGCCCCAAAAAAACTTTGAATGCCTCTAGGGGCCAAAGTATAATATGTGGCGAAAAACAGACTTCACCATTGGAATCAGCGTCCAAAACTGTACCTATGGACCAGTTTTTATGAAAATCTACGGGGGTCCGAATGTGATTCTGAAAGTGAATCTGAATCTGAGGCTGTCTTGACAGACGTGTGTTAAGGGACAACTATATTATTCCAAGAAATGGTCATCAAATGCCCACGATTGGGGTGTGAAAGGGCACACAATTTATTTATTGAAATGTTTTGCATATTCTGTCACAAAACAAGTCAGGTTCATTCACCACTAATGGCCTTTTTAGCCAATTATATGTAATGCAGTTTACGCTTCTGGAAAATGTGCTAATTATAAGGTAAACAGAACCAAAAAGTACCCTTCTGTCATCAACAAAAACCCATTTTGAAGCTAGTCACTTGTCTTTATGTGGCCCTCTTTGTTTTGGCCTTTTTATGATGACATGACATTTACCTACATCAGTCTTCATTGACCCATCATTGTAAAAGAGAGTGTTAAGCGAGTTTTGAGTTGTTTTGTTATACAACTTAAGATGTGTTAGAGATGAAAGCATGAACTTGCCAGCATTTTATGTGGAATTTGATGTTTTCCATGCCTACTGAAAGCAAACTTTATGAAATTACATTTAGATATTATTTTTTGGTTTTTCTTCCCTGTCCCTTGGCACCCCACATCGACCTCAAAATATGCATGTGCCTGGAAAAGAGGAAGAGGATGATGAATGAATGGGTGGATTTGTATAAGTTTTTCAGGAAACATGTGCAATACATGTGACAATACACCTATGCATTCATTTTACCTGTACACCTACTAGTTTATGTGGTACACACAGAGTTTTGGAGATGTCTCAGTTTTGTGAAAATGTAGCAAGATTTTCAAAACCATTTTTGAACCAAACCACTTGCATGAAAAACCATGCCATTTTGTCCTATAGTCAAGAACAAAACAGTGTTAACTACCACACTCAAGTTTTTATTTAACCTTCTCAAATTAGGAACTTCACATGACTCAAAGTTTTTCCCACCCAACTGTCCCTTATCACCCCACTGTCCCTTAACACCCCATTTTACGGTACCTTTATTCATAATTTAGTGGGAGACCTAACCTGCACATTAACATCCGAGGTACCTACTCTCCTAGTACAGCTGTGAATTGTGCAAACAGTTATCTTGCTGCTTTTGAACACTGTACGAGATTCATCACTCCAAAGTATGACAACTACAAAATGTATCTCATCTCATGACTCATAGACTCATACTGCTGCTTCCATTGGCCAGCAATGTAGATCTACTTCCTGAATCATTGATCAATGATCACAAAAAATATTTGAGGCATACCTACCTGCAGTTGCAAGTGGATCTGTGCCCTTTGGAGAACAATGCTAAGGAAGATTGCAATCCACTATATGCAATGAAACATTTGACACTGGACAACATCTCAGGAATCAGTCGAGGTGATCCTGAACAACCACCACACAATTGTCCTACCCTAGCCACAATAAGAACAGCAGTTATACTAGTTACTATTAGCTAGAATATAAAAGCCCATATTCCGATCTACACCCTGGGCCTGCATGGCATCTCATCAACACAGTGATGGTTCCCATGCCTGGTCTGTTGTTTGTATCAGTTGGACCATTTGTTCCATTTCTAGGTAACGTTATTCGTCTTTCCTATCCCTATGTACATCATGGGAATGATAAACCTGACTGATCATAAGCTGGACCAAGTAGGTAATTGATGATTTTGTGTAGATGATGTTTAATTCTGTTCATTAACTTTTTCATTGGGACATTTATTTAGTTGCGCCGACGATGAAAGAAAAGAAGCCTCCGTGAGAAATTCAGAGATATCTCCGGGACTTTATCGAAATAATGACAAATCTACATAGCCTGTCCCGTAGCTCAGTTGGTAGAGCACTGAACTCCCGGTAGTGAGAGCCCGGGTTCGAGACGCTACGCTCCGGATCGGCTTGATATTTGAGACTCCTGACGGGGATGGTCTGCGGTTGGTGGGAGCAGCCGCAGCCAGTTGAAGTCAGTTGAGTGGAACAGGCCGTGTCCGGCTTTGAAGGGCACGTTAAACTTTGGCATCTAAATTCTCCCGTTACCCGGAATTGTGCGATCGGACGGTAGGAGTCGGGGTCTACGCAATGAGCTCTGCTTAGCATGGGCTCCGGCTCTGTCAATCCGTCCGTTCAAACATTCGAGCTAAATTTATAAATAATAGAATAGCGTAGCGCGAAATTTTGCGTCGAATGATACCAGAATGTCAAAATGGATAGTATGGTGAGATCAGTTATCTTTCCTTTTACAACATAATTCTCGTGTACATTGTGGCACAGTATTTTCGCATCAATCTAGCCATCAGATTTCCTGAGTAGCTGACAACTGATATCCCCTCCAGGCGACCATGGCAACTGGTGTGATCCTGGCTCCGCCAACCACCAACCCGCTGTCCAGCCTGCCCGGCAGTAGCGCCAGCGCCAAGGGCGCACCGCCCTGCGTGCGCAGACAGTGCCGATACATGCGCAAGGTGCTGGTGAATATCAACGATCTGCGGCGCAGCGGCCGCTTCTGCGACGTCGTCCTGGTGGCCGGAGGGGTGCGGCATAAGGTCAGTCACCGTGGGAATTACTGGGGAGTACCAGTCAGTGCAGGTGTTTGCAACAGCTTGAATAGTCATGTTCTTGACACACATTGGATTGCTTGTTGTATGGTCATTGTTCCTTTATCTTGTACTTAACCTGACTCATGCAGCAATCCTGTGACGTTTTATTGGGGTCTTTAATCTCTTCGATCTCCATTGAAAGTGTATGCGTTGACACACAGCTCGCGCGAGTATAATTGTGGGTGCTAGCCCCACACCATCTACTCCAGCTGGGCACTATTACTTCTCCCGATCTGACTCTTACTCTCCTGTTTTCACAGGCGCACAAGGCCGTGCTATCCGCCAGCAGCCGGTACTTTCAGGCCATGTTCACCGGCGGCCTGGCCGAGCAGCAACAGGGTGTCGTGTGTATTCGACGCGTGTCGGCAGACATGCTGGCCACTCTGCTCGACTTCATATACACCGGTCAGTCGTATATGGCAGTGGCAGCTATGTGACACGATGGAGTTGTCTGTACCCTGATATGAATGTGACATACAACAAGTATGTCACAAGTAACGCTGCTAAGGCGTGGTGTCTCAGTATTTCTATGGGTTGTCTCGCACTCTAATAATTCCAGCAGACTGTGGTGAGACTGTGACACGGAGACTGCTAACCACCTGACCGATTGATTTATTTACTCGTCCGACATTGACTCTGACTTTGTGTCTGCCTTCAGGCGAGGTCTCTGTGACGGAGCACAACGTTCAGGAGCTGATACTGGCCGCCGACATGCTGGAACTCAGTGACGTCGTGGAAATCTGCTCGGCCTTTCTCAAACAGCAGCTGGAACCGAGCAACGCCATCGGCATCTACAGGTGGGTAGAACTGTTCTACCAACTCTGTTACAGATTTGGTAGAGTCTGAAGTGTCGAATTAGATAGGCTGGTGGAACAGAGTTGGTCTGTCGCTGAAGGTCAGTAGAGGAGAAAGTGTGTGGAGTCGAATCAGGCAGGTCGGTTGAACATAGTGGGTAGAACCACTTCAGTTAATCGGCAGACCATTACAGATCGGTTAAGAAAAGTCGGCAGAGTTTAGATGTCAGTAGATCTGTCTGCAGTAATTTCGCGGTAAAACTGCTGTAGGCGCAGGCCAATGTAAGCAAACTTTCCCGCAGTATGAGATGGTCCCACTCAAGGGCTTCGACTCTTCTCTCGACCTGTTTTCTCTCTTCATTCTACACCCATCTGCTTTCCCTCTTCTCTTCCCTCCATTCCTCCCTTTCTCCCCGCTACTGGTCTGCCATCACCTCTCCAGTGATAGTCTCCCGCCTGCGCCGCTCAGGTTCAGCGAGGGCCACAACCTGTGGTCGGTGGCCACGGCGGCGCGAGCCTTCATCAACAGCCAGTTCGCGGCCTGCTCCTCAGAGGAGGAATTTCTGGAGGTGCCACACGCGCTGCTTATGGAACTGGTGCGCAGCGAGGCGCTGGAAATTGACTCCGAGTACCAGGTGAGCTCCCGGCGACAGCGCTGGAGAGTGGAGAGGCTAGAGCGAGCGGGTGTATGGGAGACGTATGGGGTGGTATCAACGCCCAGGCACCGACTTCTCCATATATCTATATGGATAATTTTGTGGTCGAGGCTACATGGAGCATTTGGGGTGCTTGGGTGATGTGTTGATGTTTCTCGTTTCTTTTTCGTTCTCGTTTTTTTTCTTCTATCTTATGACTGAAAGCTAAAGCTTTGGTCGTTGCTAATGTCGGGTCTGTTTTTTATCGTCTTCGGTGCGTTCACAGATGTTTAAAACTCCTCCCGGTGCTCTCTCTGCGCATTGTGATGACCCTCTCCCCCGTTGCTTCCCCAGGTGTTCGAGGCGGCGCTGCGCTGGGTGGCGCACAACATCGAGGAGCGTCGACGGCACGTGTTCGAAATTCTCTGCCACATCCGACTGCCGCTCATACCCAGCAAACGAATCGAGGCCTGGATCGACGACTGCTGCGACCCCAGTCTCAAAGTGGCGCTCAGGTAATATTCGACTGTTATGCGTCGCTTGGCTCTGTGACCTTGACACTTTATTCGTGGGAACCTTAGTCCATGTAGGTTTAATTGATTCAGATAAATAACGGCTGTCCGCACCATTCAGCTCCGGCGGTTCTGTTCAGCCATTGTACGATAGCGCATATTTTGCTTTGGATCTGCGAACAGTTCGAATTAAGCTAATGTGCTAGCATGATCATTGCACTTCATCGCGTCAGATTTCCTCTTGCACCATATCTGCGCCATTTCGCAGATAAATACTTTGGCAGAATTCTACAGCATTGATTAAAACCTCCGATTGTTGTTAAAGTAATGCTCATTTACCCATTATATCCGAACTATCCAATTTGACTCTCTCTAACGCTCGGCCTCAGGTCGATGAAGCGGGACCTGGACGGCCAGACGGGCTGCCTGGTCAAACTGTGCGCCGAGCCGCGACACTCGGCCAAAAAGACCATCTATGTGATCGGCGGGTCCAAGAAGGAGTTGGTCAGCTCGTGGACCCGCTCCGAGAACGCCCTCTGCTCCACCGAGTGCTTCGACACATTCAACAAGGTAAATAGCAGGAGAGCAGTGTCTCTAAACTATCTGCGCTTCACTGAACACCATGACACGTATGACGCTGCAACAGTGTATCACACGCCCAGCGTGTTAACCATTGGTGGGATGTAGTGAGAGAATAGCCGCGTAATTGACCGGGACAGTACATAATTTCATTGTTCGTGTTTTTGAAGAGGCTTAACTATTATGGAATGTGAAAGGTGGTTATTTTTGTGCGATATGTCACCGGCCTGTGTTGTGGCCGGATTCCTGTCCTTGGCGGTTGTGTAACGCATGCTAACATCGATCGTCCCAATCGCGTAGCCACTAGTCAAGTCTGGTGGACTACTCTGGCCTGTTGCTAGTTCTACCTCAGTTTAGCCGGTACCTTGTTGTAACCGTGACAGCCACCATCCCTCACCTATCGCTTCTCTAACCCTCCCACACGACGCCTCCCCGCCAGGTATGGAGGCGCGCCTCGCCGATGCGTATCGCGCGCATCCTGCCCGGAGTGGCGGTACTGAACGGCCGGGTATACGTGGTCGGAGGGGAGCAGGAGAGTCTCATCATGGCCAACGGAGAGATCTACAACCCGCAGGTCAGTCGGAGGACCGTGCCAGCCGGCCATACGCTGAGAATGTTTGGGTCTGACCGTCTGGGCCGGGTGTGGATGTAGCAAAAAAAAATTGCTTGTCTTGTCTCTCATTCATTGATTGTTTTTTATTTGGGTTGCGATTTTTAGCTGTTTTTTATTTTGGCTGCTATTTTAAGCGTATAATGTTACGAGGATCAATCAGCTAGGAACTTGCACTTAGAGAAAACGTTCGTTGGCATTGTTCGAACATGTGAAATGACCAACCATTCAAGAAAAACAGGTAAAGTTTATTGCATAAATATTCAGAATCAGAAGTCAATCTCATCTAACAACGAATCTCCTAACTTCTGATCACCTCATGAAACGATTCCTGCTGCTGTTTTGCTGATATATATATTTTTTTTTTTTACCCGTGTGCTGAATGTCCATATAACGTTCTTTCTCTGTCTTCTCAGGAGGACCAGTGGTCGAGCATGACCTCCATGATCTCTCCACGCGTCGAGTTCGGTCTGGCCGCCGTCGACGGAAAACTCTACGCCATGGGCGGCTGGGTGGGCGTCGACATTGGTGGCACGATGGAGCTCTACGACCCGGATCGAGACGAGTGGACGCTGGCGGCTAACCTGCCTGCTCCTCGCTTCAGTATGGGCGTGGTGGCACACCAGGGACTTATCTACCTAGTGGGCGGGTGCACGCACTCACAGCGGCACCTGCACGACCTCATCTGTTACTCGCCAGCGACGAAGAAGTGGACGGAATTGGCGCCGATGGCGGTGGCCAGGTCGCAGATGGGAGTGGCGGTGCTGGATGATTATCTGTACGCAGTCGGTGGCATTGATCGGAAGAACGAGGTCCTTACTGTGGTGGAGAGATACAGCTTTGATGAGGTGAGTGGTGTGACAGGCGAGAGAGCCGTCAGATGTGTGGGGAGGGTTGTGGAGATTAATTGGCTAGCTTTGGCTCCTTGTGGTAGTATTGTGATGTCTCCTTTAGTGTTACCATCGCTTAGAATATATTTATGGGCCACTGGATTCACTTTTTAGCGAGGCACTTGCCAGCCATGCCCGAGACCTATTTCTGTTTCAATTCCAACTGCAACTTTTGTTGCTCCCTTCAGCACATACTGGCTCTCCCTCTAATCCCTTTCTCGACGCCACGGTACCAGTTCGTCACAAACACCGTGGGTGAGCCTTTTTGCGTCAGCTGACACCCGCATCCCGCATCCCCTCAATCGTCATCTGACAGTCCCCCCCCCCCCCTCCCTCAGGACCGCTGGGAGGAGGTGAAGCCGATGACCGTGCCCCGCACCTCCCCCTCGGTTGCCGCCGCCAACGGCCTTCTTTACGTCATCGGCGGCGACCAGAACCGTCAGCTGAGTGACTTTTACCGCGCCGAGATCACCGTCTCGGCCGTCGAGGTGTTCGATCCCCTCTCGGGCGACTGGAGCGAGTCGACGCCTCTGCCCGAGTCGCGCAGTGAGGCCGGTGCTGTGGTCATCTGACGCCCTCCGCCTGCCGAGCTCGTGGTCACGACGCTGCGGTGACGGCGGCGGGGCTGGAGTCGCGTCAGCTGATGGGTGAGTGGCGTCAGTGGGGTGATGTCGTCTACAGAGCTTGATGATGTCATTGGGGTGACATCGTCTGCTGAGGTAAATGTCAAATAATGGGGTGACTTCCGATCAGCGTGCTGGCATCAGTGAAGCTACGTCAGCTGCTGAGCGAGCGGACGTCGGTGCTGGATGTAGGAACCGTCAGATAATCCATGACAAGTGCGACTGATAATAACGTTAGGCTATATGCATCTCTTCGGATGCAGCTTCAATCACACCGAAAGGTTCCAAAGTGAGTGCGCTGGCAAGACGACTGTAGGATCGCACAGCTAGATGACAGGACGGCACTTACAGTGCAGCCGGGTATTGGTGTTTTGCTACGCTAATGCGGCTTAACCTGACCTAGCGTGGCGTGACAGTCGGAAAAAGAATCTCTCGCAAGTGAGCCGTGTGGACTCGTGGAGCCCTGCTGCCTAACCTGTCGTGTGGTGCGTCGGTGTTGTGCAATGTGCAGTGACCGTTTCTACTAAAGCAGCCCCCACTGCCTCGTGGATGTCCGTTGCAGAAGAGCGCTGCGTCGTCTGTCGACCTATTGAGGGTACGATACTAGGCCCGCCGGTGTTGTTCTGTAAGTGAGGTGCGAGCTTGGTGGTAAGCCGTGCGTATATAATCAGTCGTCTTGTAGTTTCTTTCAGTCGGTGGTGTCCTCATCAGTGTACTGGTGGGGAGCTGGGAGGTGTTTTTTCACGCGTTGCCTCGGCGCTGTGCGCTGGAGACGGTGTTGCCCCCCCCCCCCCGCTCTACTGTGCGGTCCCTGCCTCCCTGCGCCCGATGAAGCTGGGGGCTCACTCACTGTGTTTGTGACAGTTTGTACCGCGGCGTCGAGAAAGGGATCAATCCTACCTTTATCGCTTTAGGTGTATGTGCTTTGCGTCTCATCAGCCCATAATGTGTTCATTTCTCTAGCCTAATTCTGTCGGTGCAAGCTCGCGTCGTTAGTGATAACAGCACATACTGTGTATGTATCAACTCTAGGATAAAATCTGTTAGAAATAGTTCCTACACAAACGTATGCGGTACGTGCATGTCTGCTTTTATAACCCAATATTGGCGTGGTTCGATGAATGTGCGCGAGGCGTGCGTACCCCACTATCCAACCGCTTGTCCATAGACAGACGCCTCGCAGGATTGGCCTTGAGGGCTAGTTAGAACAGTTTGAGGCACCATTAACGGTGACTGCTAAGACGTAGGAGCAGGAAGCCGCTTCTCCGCTAGACTTGTGCCGCTCAACGCTGTCCAATTCGTGTTAGCAATAATTTTCCTGTGTTGGCAAATGCTGAAACACGCGAACTTAAACACGTTCTGCCGGCCAAAGGAAGAAACGCGTAACTCCCAAATCCGAACTTTCCAGGAGAGCCAAAAAACATGTTCGGACCTTTCACGGCTCCTGTGGTCTGAATATTCAAAACAAATACAGCACAAATAATACCATTGGAATCTCCACTGTCCGCTCTTGTCAGTGATACCAATATTTTTATTTTAAATTATGTCGCATGCAAGAAATACGTCTATACGTTTCTTCCTTTGCAGCTGTTAATTCACATCAATCGAAATCCCAATGGAAGAAACGCGTGAATCGGTTATCTGGAGCTACGCGTTTCTTCCATTGGGATTTCGGCGCACGCGCTACATCGACGTTGTGGAAAAAAAGGGCAGACACAGTAATGAATGAACGGATGAATGAATGTCTGGCGTGTGAGATCTAAACCGCTTCGAATCTTGACTGTTTAACTGAATAATTTCGATGTTTAACTGTATAACTGTCCCTCTACGTCTTTATGTGTATATGAGTGCATTTAACTCTGGCATGTGCAGATATTTTAAATTAACTCAGCACGTCTTACCTTATAGAATATACTGGAATCATTGAGATAATATAGTCAACAAAAGGCTATCAACTCAGCAGCCTGACATTCAAAACAGAAGGGAACAATGGGGTATATTTCGGTTGCTGAAGACAACATAACACTGTATAAACACCACCCATCCAAAAGGCTGGATCAACAAAAGGCTATCAACTCAGCAGCCTGACATTCAAAACAGAAGGGAACAGTCATGGGGTATATTTCGGTTGCTGAAGACAACATAACACTATAAACACCACCCATCCAAAAGGCTGGGTCAACAAAAGGCTATCAACTCAGCAGCCTGACATTCAAAACAGAAGGGAACAATGGGGTATATTTCGGTTGCTGAAGACAACATAACACTGTATAAACACCACCCATCCAATACACACAACGCCATTATACAGACAGAAATCGCCTGGAAGCGGGAGGGCGGTATCTCCGGCGCCGGGGGTCACGGCGACCGCCCCCTGTCCCATCCAACACACACATGACACAACGGCATCTTCACCGACATATCCTAGCATCTGCGCAGCGGCTGCGCAGATGGCTGAGACAGGCTGAGACTGCTGAGGCTGAGGCTGCCAGGCTGGTGCAGCCTCAGCCTGCCAAATCGCGCACCTTCTTTCCTTGCAGAGATTCCCAGAACTCGCGCTTGTAAGGCGTCATCAACGGTGCCAGTACTTTCAGGATCCTGTCCAACTTATCTTTATTTACTCCACGAGCGACCGCTCGCCTATTGGGCTGCGTGGTTGGGTCGTACGTGGTCTTGAACAGGTCATAAGCGGCCCAGCTGGGGCTGCCATGTCGTGTTTTTAGAAATAGTCGATCGTCTCCACGTCGAGCCTGGACCACTTTAATGTCTCTCAACATAGGCCTCATGTCACCACCGGCAAGCCGCGTCAGCTTGGCGGTACTGACGCCATTCACCAGGTCTCGGAAATCGCCCGGCGACATTTCCACTACTCGTCCAGACCGTTCACAGATTTTAACAAAATCAGAAAAATCCTCCACTACAGCCTTTGAAAGAAATTTGTTCACGACCTGGTGAATGGCGTCCGCTGACATACTAGTATGTCCTTTCTCCAAATATTTTACTGTGACTGTGTTGAGTGCCACATCAGTCCTATTCACCATGTTTTGAAGGGCCGTCAGAAATGTCCAATTCTTATTCTGTGCCGAACAGTTGTCGACCCAGAAGGTGAGGCTGACCACGTGCCGATGGAGTTCCGCGAATTTCATGAATGTGGAGGCCACGTCGGGCGCGTCCCTCCCTGCCACACCCTCGTGCCACACGATGCACACGCCCTGACCCTTGCCGCCGCCAAGTGAGACGAAAGTTTCATTGTACGCTATGAGGCGGGATGTGAAAACACACGTCTTGTGGGGCAGGATTGGGAGAACGGCAATCCTCATCATGTCCGCGGACACCACCATCTCGTCTGCCGTCCGCGGCCTTGACCGGTCTCGGGCGTATTCCGCCCGCGCCCGCTCGGCCCTGTCGAGGTGGGAAGCGTGATCCTGGCACACCTGACAGGTTTCATGATCAGTGCATGAGGAGAGGTGCAAGTGAAAGGCCTTGCATATTTCACACTCTTCCCCAGCGAGTCGTGTGAAGCCAATGTTGGCCTCTCGGACGGCTTGACGAAACCGCTCCATGGAGCAGATTCTGCCCTTCTCCTCGACCAGGTGACGATACATCGTGGGCACGGACAGGTCGATGGGGAGATACCGGCGATTTGGCGCGTGCAAATACCGGTAATGTGGCGTCAGCGGATGGTAGCGCTCAATGTGCTGCTTTAGCTCTGTAGCCAGAAGTTTCACGCCAGCCGGCGAGGCGCGGCCACGCTCGTCCCTTTTGGGGGATAGCTTCCCGACAGCTGTCAAGATCACCCCATCGCTGGCCTCACTGAAACCCAGCGTTGTTAGGCAGAATTCTTTACAGACACGCTGGTTTCGGCCATTTTCCAACGGGAGTCGATAAACGATGAGCCGCCGCCTGGCAGAGGCAACATCGGTTAACGGAGGGCTGTCAGTCAGAGTCGGGGTCTCATCGGTGACGTGGGTGGCATACCACTGAAGCCTAGCTTCCCTGGGCAGTGAGTTGACAGTTGTATTTATGTTTTCCCTCTGTGCCTGGGATATGTGAGAGGTGCATTCGAACCGGCATTTGCGGTTGAGACATGCTGTAGGAATAGGTCGGACACTATGCTTTTGTTTGAAGGCCAGGATCTGTGAGTCCTGCGTTCTGGCACGTTTTTTAGACTGTCCAGGGGTAGAAGGCTCACAGCTGGTGCCTTCTTCGCGGGGTGTGCGACAGCTTGTCGTACCGCGATCATATTCGCCCCTGTCGCCGTCGGCTCCGACATCGGGGACAGGTCCAACAGCGGCGCCGAGGTCAGGACCAGCGGGGTCGAGGTAAGTACCAGCGGGGCCGGGGTCAGGACCAGCGGGGTCGAGTTCAGGACCAGCGGGGCCGGGGTCAGGACCAGCGGGGTCGAGTTCAGGACCAGCGGGGCCGGGGTCAGTGCCACCGGGGCCGGGGTCAGTGCCACCGGGGCCGGGGTCAGGACCAGCGGGGTCGAGTTCAGGACCAGCGGGGCCGAGGTCAGGACTAGCGGGACCGAGGTAAGGACCAGCGGGGCCGGGGTCAAGACCAGCGGGGCCGGGGTCAGGACCAGCGGGGTCGAGTTCAGGACCAGCGGGGCCGGGGTCAGTGCCGCCGGGGCCGAGTTCAGCCCGCACAGGTAGGCCAGCGAGGTCGAGATGATCAGTGGGACCGAGTTCGGGGACACTTTCACCGGCGGGGTCAAAGTTAGGACCTGATAGAGGAACATCGATGAGATCACAGCTGGAAAGGCTACCCAAAAGTCGAATGAAGTTATATGACCCAGTATCAAGAAAATAATCAAGATTGCACAGATCATCAAGCTGTGGCTCGTCGGTAGCTGGCGGCAGCTTGGCACCTACGGCATTGACATTGGTTAGCTGATACTCATCCGCTGAAGCACCAGCAGGTCCGGCAGCCACCGTCGAGCCGCTGTCGAGGGCCGCCTGAAGATGCTGTCCATCAACACCGTCGGCATCAGCACCAGCAGGTCCGGCGGCCACCGTCGAGCCGCTGTCGAGGGCCGCCTGAAGATGCTGTCCATCAACACCGTCGGCATCAGCACCAGCAGGTCCGGCGGCCACCGTCGAGCCGCTGTCGAGGGCCGCCTGAAGATGCTGTCCATCAACACCGTCGGCATCAGCACCAGCAGGTCCGGCGGCCACCGTCGAGCCGCTGTCGAGGGCCGCCTGAAGATGCTGTCCATCAACACCGTCGGCACCAGCACCAGCAGGTCCGGCGGCCACCGTCGAGCCGCTGTCGAGGGCCGCCTGAAGATGCTGTCCATCAACACCGTCGGCATCAGCACCAGCAGGTCCGGCGGCCACCGTCGAGCCGCTGTCGAGGGCCGCCTGAAGATGCTGTCCATCAACACCGTCGGCATCAGCACCAGCAGGTCCGGCGGCCACCGTCGAGCCGCTGTCGAGGGCCGCCTGAAGATGCTGTCCATCAACACCGTCGGCATCAGCACCAGCAGGTCCGGCGGCCACCGTCGAGCCGCTGTCGAGGGCCGCCTGAAGATGCTGTCCATCAACACTGTCGGCATCAGCACCAGCAGGTCCGGCGGCCACCGTCGAGCCGCTGTCGAGGGCCGCCTGAAGATGCTGTCCATCAACACCGTCGGCACCAGCACCAGCAGGTCCGGCGGCCACCGTCCAGCCGCTGTCGAGGGCCGCCTGAAGATGCTGTCCATCAACACCGTCGGCATCAGCACCAGCAGGTCCGGCGGCCACCGTCGAGCCGCTGTCGAGGGCCGCCTGAAGATGCTGTCCATCAACACCGTCGGCATCAGCACCAGCAGGTCCGGCGGCCACCGTCGAGCCGCTGGCCACGGGTGAATACAACTGCGCGCAAAACGAGTGGGTTATGATCAACATGCTCAGTTTATCTCCTTGAGCGAAACATTAGTTGTGACCTTCAGGAATAGTTGGTAGGGGAGGCGGACTGGAAACATCGGATCATACGATTTGATGTTCATTTTATTGTATTGAGTGTCAGGCATGCATTGAGTGTCAGCAATGATAGCTGCAATGATTGCAATGATAGCAATGATTGCTGATTTTCATGAACATCACAGACCCAGCAGGAAAGCTAGCTATTGCCGCCTCGGTGATTTTTTTTTTCGCTGAAAACATTTGCCATTCACCGGACACCGCTCATTTCGCCCAATGTGAAAGGGAAAAACAATTGTTGTTTAGGTGCGTTTTGGACGTAACACTCACCAGTTGATTTGAGTCCGCAGGTTTGTCCACTGTCGGTGTAGAGACCAGCTCAAGTGCGGGCGTTAGAACCGCACAGGACGCACTACTGGACGCATCTTCATGCCGCATCGCACTTGCACATCGCACTTTTGCCAGCGGCAACTCATCGTCTGACACATCTGCACCATGATAACAGAGTCACATCACTCAATGTTTGTGTTTCATTTTTATTAGCGCACATAATTAATCAAATTTTATTTATTTTAAATGTCATATATTTCCTCATAACCTACATTTTTCATCATGTTTACTGAAACGCCAATTATTTTGTGAAATTATTCATACGTAGGTTTTATAAAATAACAAATTCTAGAAACGAGCATGTAAGAAACCTTACATTACACATCCTTTGATATGCCCTCGGAGAGAATACACTGCCATTCGGGACTCCCGTCATTTTCCGCTGGAGGCTGAAATGTTATCCTTAACGAGACTCGCACGTTTTAACGGACTACAAGATGGCTATATTCGTTAAAATCCTATGTTGAAGGCGTGCTATTTTCTTCAAATGTAGGCATCTTACCTTGAACTAGGAGGCGTGCGGCCAAGGGGCTGACCGCTACGGTGCCCGTCCACGCTCGACCACCCGAATGTCGCATGCTGACCCGTGAGCCGGCGGCAATAGTCCCGGAACACTTCAGCGACTTCACGGGGACATAGTGATAGTCACCTCGACTTGTGTCGTCCCAGTCAACTCTTACATATACGTTGCCTCTGCGTGTCTTAAAATCTGCGTCAATCGGTACACCTGGTATCGGTCTCTTTCGCTTTCTCCCCATCCTATCATAAATCACGATCAAGAACTGTCACCTGTCACCAAAGACACTACTTAAGCCAGCGCGGAGCGAAAACGATCAGCTTAAATTGCCCGCCATGGCGCCAAAACTTGTTATTGTTTACGTTCCTTGATTTTTTTTAGTGAAGCACGTGCTTCGGTACTGATGACAGGCGGCAAGTTTTTAATGGGGTTTTAAATTAGCGTGTCCATTTTAGACAGTTCAGAAGCATGATTATCTCAGGCATTATTGAAGTTAGGCCTTCTCTGCGCGTGTATTCGTTTATTATGTTATCACGACAATAAACTTACTTAAGACATCACAATAATCAACGATGAGATTAAAAGTCTACCAAGATCACAACATGACAAAATGTCGTGCATCCTCCGCCGTGCTGGTATCAAACACGCCACTCCGGGTCCACGCGTTTCTTCCTTTGGTTTTCGAGCTGCTACGAGCGTAAACCGCAATGGAAGAAACGGGTGAAATCTCACGCGTTTTTTCCTTTGGCCCCTTGGACCAATTGCACCCACCTCGCAACTGACGCTATTTTGCCAAACTAAGATAGGTCATAACTTTTTCAAATAACATCAGATCGTTCCAAAATTGGTATAGTAGGATGCGTCTTGAGAAGGGCTATCGATTGATATAAAAAAACAAAAATGTCAAAAATCGAGTTACGCGTTTCTTCCTTTGGACGGCAGCGTTAACAGAACTGTCGATAGTGTATTTATTGGTGGTCGCCTACCGTTTGCTCTAATGCGGTCATTTCACTTTTCCGTGTGGCTTGTGATTTCGTGCACGCTGACGTATTTACTTCTCGCGTCCCGCTGTCTTTACTGGAGATCTCTGCTCTGTTTACGCTGGTATATACTTGGAGCCAGCGTCCTTTAGAAAAAAAAAAACGAACTATAGTCGGTGGTTGTGCGTATAATGGAAGGTGGAATGGCAGGGGCGGCGCCACGGGTTTTCGATAGGGGGGGACGGGGACCGAAAATCGAAAATCCAAAAAGTAGATACTGATCGTGTATGCAAAAAAACGAGGCACGTAACGCCGCGAAACTTGGCAAGGCCCAAAACACATCGAATGGTGCATCCCGTTTCCAAACTTATCCTAGGACACCTAAGATCGATCACCTTTTCAAGCATCCTTGCCTCTAAATCAAAATTTGCAGTCTTGCCAACTCAAAGCTGGTTTCCTACAAGCTGCGAATTGCTTAGGTATGAGTAGCAGTGCCAGCTATTCTTACGTTTCATACTTTCAAATTTTCGATCTTACGTCTGGTCAGCTTCAGGGCTTCACCATCATATAGTAATGGAGGAAAAGTGGGAATGTCTTCTGCTCTGACAAGTGCGCCAAAACTGCAATATAATTTCAGAATCATGACACCACCTGATCCATATGCAACGGGCAGGGTGCAGCTAATGGCTAGCCGTCAGTGGTCATGTCATCGGTGGTCACTCAAAAGGCTAGGTCATGGAAGGTCCCCAGCCGTTATTTGACCACACTTTCTGATCGATTTCTTGCCAAGAGCTTCGCGGGAAAAACGAGCGCATGCACCGTTGAAAAAAAAAAAATGAGTGAAAGGGTCTCAGGTCCGGCGACCTCTGCAGGTGAAATGCCCCAGGGTAGGATTCCGGTGCTTGTTGATTCACTTCGTCAAAAATGGCAGTAGAGCTGTGATGTCGGCACCATTGTGTTCGTCATGATCGAGCTGGCACGACCTGCATCGTTCTCATATTCACCCTCCAATCGTAACAACTACAGCAGGGATTGGCAAATGGCGGGGCACCCCCTTTGGGAGGTAATGAAGGTCTCTGGAAACCTCATCCCACATCTCTTTAGCATTTAGTGGCTCTCCTTATGGAACAGGTTTCTTGACTGGTCTGTTTCACCCCAGAATTCAAAGACTAGTCCAGGTAAAACCGAGCGCACCACAGTGAGCACAATTTGATAAGCTGGTGTATCTCAATTTTCATGTAGAACCTTTCACGTATCACGGACCTAAAACCCTTTCGTGCACTCATGCAAAAGCAACTGCCATGTTTCAACAGCTGGTAATGGCATTTTCACAGCCGCTGACGTAAGAAGGGGAGGGATGGGGGGCTCGATTAGACCCCCAGCCGTTCGGCCGCCGACCGAACTTAGTTTTGCAGAAAAAAAAAACGAGTGCTATCGAACCCCTTGACGAGAGGGAGCCGATGCTATATCCAATTATAAGGTCCTGGGCTACTGCGTGCTTTTTTGGTCCTGCCTGTGATCTATCCGAACACTTCTCCCCACAAGTGCTGGGGTTAAATGGCATAGATTTCAAATGGTTCCTTTGGTATAACTGCCATGCTTGAATTTGACTAATTAGGAATGGAAAATTTTCATATAGTAACGGATATCTATGGAATTTCAGTGAACTTGGCTTTATCGGCAATGGGGTCTGGCAGTGGGGTGGGGAGGTAATAAGTAATAACCCTGCCTGGCGCCCCAAAAAGGGGGCACGATCCCCGAGGCCCTGCCGATCACCTTATAACTACAGGCATCACAGCTCCACACCTTTTGCAGATGGCCAGGACCCCCTGCGGTGCATCCCAACAGCAATCTTTATTCAGAACCTGCCTTGATTAACCAACGATGCATTAAATGCGACGGATAGCTTTATAATGCATTATTATCAACTATTGAACGGGCATCGCCGATAGGGGGGTACTGTACCCCCCTAACTTTCGATAGCGGGGGACCTGTCCCCCCCGTCCCCCCCGGTGGCGCCGCCCATGTGGAATGGGTATCCACGATGCTTATTGTTAACATTTCCCGCAAAGATACGCTCGCTGGTATTGTGTGAGGTGATCGTGCCGCTGTCTGCGACAGAGAAGCTACTGGTACGTGGTCGGTGCGCCGCAAAGTTCTCATTTTCTACCCAGATTGTGTTTCGTTTCACTCTTGTGTTGGTGCTAACAAGTCGCTGTTACGTTATTGTGCACCGCGCCGCGCTGGGGCCCTCGATTGCCTGTTACGTGATTGAGCTAATGCTGATGATGGTCTGTGGCTATGGTCTTGGCACCCTGTTGTATACCTATTGTGATACGCTGTTTACTGAATACAAGCTAGATGACCCGAGGCAATGAGTGTGCAGTGAAGCGTGTCTGAATAACTCAGAAGAGCACAAGGGAGCTGCCGATTTGATAGGCCCGAAATTGACATTCAGCGATTTGGAACATGACTCTTCACGTGTAGCTTAGTGGATAAGGCACCAGTCTCGTAACTCGATAGCAGCGAGTTCGCGGCCGGGGAGTTCCAGCGTCGTTTGACCCGCGATATTCAGCCAGCTGGCAGCTGGTGAGAGGGCCGCGCTAGAGGCGGAAAACCATGCCACCATCAGCCAGCTGTGACAAGTTAAACTTTCGATTAAAATTATCATCAGATCAGACTCTGCAGTGACACCGTGAGCGTTTATTGAACGGCGGAACTCTGCAATCGGGGCACAGATGCGAACGTAGCACACTTACTGGCCAAAAATACCAGCGACGATCAGTCACTGGCTGAACCTCGTCCCGAGTAGTGGCGGCAAATCGGGACAGTGAAGCTGCCCCTATGGTAGGGTAAAACGATAACTGGCTCAAACTGAGGTGGATAAGACGGTTACGCTTGCCAGGAGCCAAGGAGCGGTGCGGTGGGAAACGCCAGTTATTGGTTGGCTAAACTTCGACCGACAGACCGTCCAATACGACGCCTAAAATACAGTATTAAACAGAGCACGGCGCCATAATTGCAGTGGCGAAACCATCCAGCCGGTGACACTGGGTGACATGAGGGCACGGCACAACGCTAATACCACGGGCCTCTCGGGCAAACCACTCAAAAGGACGCCCCAGCGTCAAACAGCACATGAAGCTCGAAATGATGTAAACGTGGGAATGCTCGACATTGGTCCAAATCTTGACCGTTCCAACACAGCTTCGATACGGGTCAATACAAAATAGCATCGCTCTCATGGAGGTCGCAAGCTGATCTGCACGACCAATAGCACGAAATACGGCCATCAACCCACGACAGCTTAGATATAGGGTGATAACCGTGACCCGTGTTGGGACTGTTATTCGTTTAGCCGTACAGCCAGGAGTCCAGGATACCTACTGACAATCAGTCAGAGAGCTTTGCACATCGGGTTTCCCGACACGAAAGGACGAGTAGTGAGAAACATCCTTAGCTGACCACGTTTGATACTGGACTGTTACTTACAGCAGGGACATGTGCCTCTTAACAATATCATGTGTGTACACTATTAACCAAGAGCTTGTCCACATCAATTTGAATTTGATTTCGCCTCTGAACTATATATAATACGTGATATGTGTACACTGTACAAATGATGAGAACGTTTACGCTGATTTGCTGTAAGCGCAATCAGAACCGTTCATCAAACCGTTCATTCATTCGTCTGTGATGGCACAAAGTACGCACTGATGCATAAGCAAAAAAGCAACTGTTGCATTCTCACAGACTTTCAGTGCAAGTAGCTCACATGCATGCTATAAAACAGCACAAATTAACACACTGAGCCCTCGAACATCTCAATCTTCACAGAATGTCTGTACATCTCACGACTTCTGCGCCGGTCTCGGGCCGGCTCTCTTCACCCCGGACCAAGTCGGAGTCACCGCCTGGCGTCCCGGCTTGGGCGGCGGATCAAACGCTTCACAATTCACTGAACTGATCTCCGCCCGTACCTGCATCTTCTGCACCCCGCTAGAGGCTACCGGAGACCCGTTAGAGGCTACCGGCCGGCCGGTGGGCGCGTGCAGCTGCGAGGCTCCCGAGTCACTGGAGCTGAAACTGGAGGAGTCGGGAGCCGAGCTGATGGCGCACTCCTCCGTCTCCGCGGAGCCTCCGGAGCCGGAGCCGCAGCCGGAGCCCGTGCCCGTGCCCGTGCCGGGATTGTCGTTTAGCACGCCGGCTGATGTTAGCCGCGAGCCGTTGCGCGGCAGCAGCGGCTTCTGACTGGGCTCAAAGAAGCTCAGCACGGCACGCGACCGCAGCGTGGCAGGCGCCTTCCGATGGCCCCCGTCTGTGGAGCCGGGAGACGGTTAGGGTCGGTGGCCGGGTGATATGAGGTCAGTAGAGGTCGGTAAATGTCAACTTAGGTCAGCTGAGGTCAGTAAATAAAGTCATCATCTATCTTGATAGGGTCATAAAAGGAGGAGCGAAGCAAGTGTATCACCGCTGTAGCGTTCAAAACCACGATGCTGTGCTGGATATACCAATAATCGAAATCCCCACAGCCGAGCCGAGTAGTATCCCTCGAGTATTTGTTTAATGAAAAGCTGTCACTTTGGTACTGCTGTAATCACACGATCATGAGAGTCATCTGGAATTAGATGAACACACTACGACGCTTCCATGCCTGCCCGTAAGGGATCATGTAATGCTCACCGTCGTCCGTGTTCTTCGAAGGTTTCTTGCCGCACGGCCTGGTCGGAACACCGGTGTTTCCATAGATGACGTAACACATCAGCAGAGTGACGCTCTGGAAGACACATCAGATGGTGCATTAGCGATGTGGTTATCAGTAATTGCCAGCGGATGGTACGAGTCATTATGTGACATGAACTCTACATGATTTAAATTTAATAATCTGGATAGCCCATGATAACGGGGTCTCAGAGTGTATCATATCCCATCTACCCGGGAAACACGGGAAAGTAAATAATTAAACTACAAACGGTGTTGAATATTGTTCAGTACCGTACCGTATCGTTTAGCGCCTGTACCGTACAGTGATTGACCGCTAGCGACATCTATTAGTTGGATTGGGTTGTGCGGATTGTGGCCGCTGCCGACTGTGGCTCTGTTAGCTGCGACTTTGGTATGTGGCGCGCGGTGATTGGCCTTGACCCCGAGCAGCTGTGCCACGCCCGCGCACAGACAGCTGTTTTCGGTTTTGTGTGGCATTGTGGCTTTTTCTGTTGGCACGGTTGGAGGCGTTTCCCCAATACAGTGCATCGGATTTTTGATTCTGCTTGGTCTTCTTCGCCTGCTACGGCCCGGCCCGACCCTGCGATTCAGCGGTCGACTTTATTCGGAAACATTGGTGCCGAAACTGTCGGGATGGCGGAGGAGAGGAGCAGAATAGCGGCTAAGGGCTGGCTGACCCGCGCTGGGTCCAAGATGGAGGCGTTGTTATGCCGAGAAGACGCGGGTTCCGACGAGTGGCGTTTGGAGGCGCAGATCGTGGAATCTGAATTCCTGAAGCGGCTCGATGCGTTTGATGCTGCTCAGGCCGCGTTTGAAGCCAGCCTGAACGACGAGGAAGAGCTCATGAAAGATATCGAGCGGAGTGCAGCGTTCCGTGACACCTTCACCGGTCTGCGCGCTCGCTTCCGTAAGGCTCTGACGGCTGATCAGGAGCCGGCTCTCAGCTCGTCCTCACATGCACAGGCAATGAAGCTCCCCAAGTTATCACTGCCGACCTTTGATGGTGATGTGAGGGGCTGGCCTATGTTTTGGGAATCATTCTGTGCTTGTGTGGATCAAGCTGAACTTCCTGACGTGTCTAAGTTTTCTTACCTTCGGTCACTACTGAAGGGGGAGGCCTTGAAGGCTATCAGTGGCTTGGTGCTCACTGGCTCAAGCTACAAGGCGGCCTGTGACATCCTCCGTCAGAGGTATGGCCGCCCAGAGAGACTCGTCTTTCTTCACATTGAGGCGTTGCTGAATGTGAGCCTGAACCAATGTGATCTGCAACGTCTGCAGGATGAACTGATGTCCCACATCAGAAGTTTGGAGGGCCTTGGTGTTGAAGGGGAGAAGTTCGGAGTATTCCTCACCCCCTTGGTGCTCTCTAAGCTCCCTGAAGAGGTCCGACTGGAGTGGGCAAGAGGTTCGGAGGGAAGAGAGAGTGATCTGGAGTACCTCCTCCAGTTCCTTGCCTCGGAGATTCAGAGGAGGGAGCGCTCTGGCAACTACTGCCACCTGGAGCGGGTGGATCACTCTGCTGCTGCTGCTCCTGCTGAGGGTGGCCGCCGATCGTCTTCTGGACAGCCTGGTGGTCGGCTGGGTGGCCGCCCTGCTCGGGCTCCCGGCCGCCTCAGGCAGTTCACTGGGAAGCCGCCACCTGCTGGTTCTACAGCTGCTGCTCTGCAGGCCTCATCTGAGACCACCTGTGGCTTCTGTCAGGGACCTCACCTATCAGATAAGTGCAAAGATTGGCTTAAGTTAACGCGTGAAGAAAGATTTGAGAGGGTCAGAGGGGCTAGACTGTGTTTTAGCTGTCTGTCATCTAGCCACATGGCTAGATCTTGCTCTGTTAGATGTAAGGAGTGTGGTCGTAGACATCACACCATGTGCTGTCTCAGAAGGGAGGGTGTCCGGGACTCTGATCAGAGTAGGGCTGGACCTGAGGCACCCACTGAGAGGCAGCCCCGTGACGCTGACACAGCCTCTGCCTCTCTGTCTTCTCATACGGGAGGGGATCATGTGTTGCTTCCCACTGCTACTGTGCGGGTGATTGGGAATGATGGGAAACCTGTGTTTGCTAAACTGATCATGGATTCTGGGGCTGATCGCTCCTTTGTGTCCGAGGGGCTACTGAAAAGGGTCAAGGGGACATGGAAGGGCTCTGTCGAGATGGCATATGCTGCCTTTGGTGGTGGGAAACAGGACGGTGTTTATGATAAGTTCGAGTTACAGCTTGCTGCTGCAAATGAGTCTGTGTCATCTGTTCACAGGATTGAGGCAGTGCGCGTACCAGTGATATGCGCACCTCTGAGACGCCCTGTTGTGCCAGCTCAGCTCCTGAGTGCCTTCTCACACCTGCCGCTAGCTGATACGTACTCAGACGACCAGGACCAGCAGATACGAGTAGACATCCTGGTGGGACAGGACCAGTACTGGGATCTGGTGAGAGCTGGCCTGTTCCGCAGTCCGGATGGCCTGGTAGCTCAGGAGACTGTCTTTGGGTGGGTGTTGTCTGGCAGGGCTGAGGGTCCTAACCTAACCTAACCTAACCTAACCTAACCTAACCTAACCTAACCTAACCTAACCTAACCTAACCTAACCTAACCTAACCTAACCTAACCTAACCTAACCTAACCTAACCTAACCTAACCCACTCTTCAAACCATTCCTGTCATCAAACTCTCGTAACCTTACCATTCACAAACTTCCTCCTTCCCTCCCTTCACAAACATCAATTTACCGGTAAGTTTCACTGTCATTTATGTGTCTTAACGTAAATTCATGGGTTTTTTCCCATATTCATGGCATAGTACATGGATATGGGTTTTCCCATGTTGTCTTGCTGTAAAAGTGGCCACCGGTCTTAGTTAGGACGGCCGGTTTGTTTTGCGCGGCGTAGTTAGGTCGCCGCCCTCCTCGCGAGGCCGGTAACGTAAGTTAGGGCCACTAAAAAAAAAAAAAAAAAAAAAAAAAAAATAGATGGGAACCCCCTGCTGAGGGAGAGATATGATTGTGCCTTGAGGGAAATGGAGACCTCTGGTGTGATTTGTGAGGTCCCAACTGAGGAGATGTGCTCTGAATTCCCAGTCTATTACATGCCACATCGCCCAGTGGTGAAAGAGACTAGTAGGGGGATGAAAGTGCGCCCTGTCTTTGATGCATCTGCCCGAGGCTACAATGGTTTGTCATTGAATGACTGCGTGGAGCTAGGGCCGGCGTTGATTCCCAGTCTGCCGGAGGTTCTCCTGCGGTTCAGGAGATGGCGATTCGGCTTCTCCGCCGACATCGTCAAGGCTTTTTTGCAAGTCAGGCTTGCACGTGAGGACCAGGACGTGCACAGGTTCTTATGGCTCTGTGAGGGCAGAGTTAGGGTGATGCGCTTCCAGCGCGTGACGTTTGGTGTTGCTTGCAGTCCCTTTTTGCTTAATGCAACTGTTCAACACCATCTGTCCCAGTATGGTGATGAGCCTGTGGTGCAGGAGATGAAAGAGAACTTCTACATGGACGACCTGCTTTCAGGAGCGGACTCGGAGGCAGAGGTTGTAGCCATGTTCAGGGAAGCGCGCTCCATCATGGGAGCTGCTGGGATGGAGCTGTCAAAGTGTTCGTCCAACTCTGCTGTTCTCTTCGGTGAGCTCGAAGGTGGCTCAGTCAGTGACAGCGTGAAGGTGCTTGGTGTGACTTGGTGGCCCGACGACGACACTTTCTCCTTTGTAGGTCAACTCCTCCCTGATGATGTTGTCCCAACGAAACGTGTCCTGCTTAGTCTGATTGCTAGACTGTTTGACCCTCTCGGGTTCCTGACTCCGTTCACAATGCTCGCTAAATGCCTTTTCCAGGACCTGTGGGAGCAGGGTTCTGGGTGGGACGAGCCGCTTCGGGGCGGCGATGCTGAGTTGTTCAGGAGCTGGGTGGACGGTCTTCAGCTGCTGCAGCGGCACCGGATCCCACGCTGCTACTCAGCTGGCGGTGGACCTGACTGGTCCTCTGATGCACGTAAGGAGTTGCACGTTTTCGCTGACGCGTCGCCTAAGGGCTATGGGGCAGTGGTGTACATTCGCCTCTCACTGCCTGATGGGTCCAGTTCTGTGTCAATGGTGATGTCAAAGGCCAGAGTGGCTCCTCTGAAGAGGCAGACGTTACCTCGGCTGGAGCTGATGGCTTGCCTGATGGCCAGTCAGCTGGTTGAGTTGGTGCGAAAGGCTCTGCGTTTGCCTGACGGTGCCTTGTGTACATGCTGGTCTGACTCGATGATCGCCCTCGGATGGCTGACAGGTGATCCTCGGAGGTGGAAGCCCTTCGTGGCCAGCCGAGTGCGCCAGATCCAGTCTCTGACGCCTGTGGCGTGCTGGCGTCATTGCAGCTCATCCGACAACCCCGCAGACCTGCTGACGCGTGGCATGTTGGCCGATGATTTGCTCGTGTCTCGGCTGTGGCGCTCTGGTCCTGACTGGCTTCGTGTAGCCGCCCAGCCGCTCCAGGTCAGCGACGGGACGGCGTCCTGGGTGGACGCCTCGGAATCGGCGCAGCTTCTGATCCGAGAAGAGATGGTGGCTGTTTCTGGTGAGCCGGCGCGTGAGGTCGGTGACCTCCGCGGCGTCCTGTGTGACGCGAGAGTGCAAACAGTCCTTTCGGAGGATGCTGCTGCACCATGTGCCCCCACTGATGTCGGAGAGGGGAAGTTGCTGTGTTCTGACGACGCAGTGGCGGCTGATGGGGCACCAGATCCGCGGGTGAGCCCGCCACCTGACGGAGGAGTCGGTGCGGCGGCGCCGCCCCGTGCCGATGGTCCAAGTGACCGTGCTTCTGTCCAGACGAGGTTGTTAGACCTCGACAGATTTGGATCACTGAACAAGGCCACCCGAGTGATGGGTTGGGTTCAGAGATTTGTCCGGAACGCTCGTGGTGTGAACCGCTGCAGCGAGCAAGACCTGACGTGTGCTGAGATGACTGATGCGCGGAACGCTCTGTTTCGCCTTGTACAGGTTGAGAGTTTTCATGCTGAGATGACAGCTCTGAGGATGGGTGGTAGAGTTCCAGCCAGCTCGCCACTTCACAGGCTCTCGCCCTTCTTGTCTGATGGTCTGCTGCGTGTTCAAGGGCGACTCCAGTTTAGTCAGCTATCTTATGAGGAAAAGCATCCTATTATTTTGCCCAAGGGGCACTTGTCGTACTTGCTCGTTCGTGAGCAGCACCACCTCATGCATCATGCTGGTGTAGCCACCCTGCTGACTGCTGTGAGATCTGAGTTTTGGGTGCTGGGGCTCAGAGCCATTGCTCGCCGCGTTGTTCGTGGCTGTCTGGCGTGCCGTTGGCAGGATGCCAGGGCCGGTTCGCAGCAGACCGCCCCTCTGCCGCGGGATAGGGTGTCTCCTGCCCCGCCATTTTCAGTCACTGGCGTGGACTTCGCAGGGCCACTGTTTTCTGTTGATTTCCCACGGAAGAAGTTATACGTTTGTCTATTTACCTGCGCGGTCACTCGTGCCGTGCATTTGGAGCTGACCGAATCGCTGTCGCTGCCGCATTTCATGCTGGCGTTCCGCAGGTTTGCTGCTCGGAGAGGTGTGCCGTCCACTGTCTATTCCGACAACGCGACCACCTTCAAAGGCGCCGACGTTCAGCTTCGCAAGTACTTTGGGCGGCTCTCTCCTTGTTGGAAATTCATCGCCCCCCTCTCCCCGTGGTGGGGGGGGGTTGGTGGGAACGTCTGATACGTTCAGTCAAGGTCGCGCTTCGTAAGTCACTGGGAAAGCGCTGTCTGACGCGCATTGAATTGGAAACCGTGCTGAGTGAGGTCGAGGCTTGCATTAACTCGCGACCACTCACCTTTCAGGGTGACACTCCAGATTGTCCGGGACCTCTGACGCCAAACCATTTTTTGACTGGGCGCAGTGTAGGGTTTCAGGCCAGGGCGGCCGAGGATCCGTCTGCCGTGACTGCGCGGGCGTTGAGTGACAGGGCACGGGTCTGTGAGATGCGCCTGTCCAAGTTTTGGGCTGCCTGGAGGAATGAATACTTGAGGACTCTACCGCCCGCAGTGAGCGGTAAGGGACAGGGTAAGCTAGAGGTGGGCTCACCTGTTCTGGTGCACGAGGAGGGGACCCCCCGGCTTAAGTGGGATATGGGGGTGGTTACTCGCGTGTTCCCTGGGAGGGACGGCTTGGTCCGGTCTGCTGAGGTGAGAACCCCTGGTGGTCTGAGAACGAGGTCTGTACAGCGGCTTCATAACCTTGAAGTCCTTCCATCCTCTCTTCCTTCACCCGGGTGTCCTGCCTGAGTGCCTCTTGCAGGTCCCTCGCGCACTGCCTCAGTGGTGGGCATTTTAAATATCAAGTCGTGATACGTTTCAGTGGTGTGTCTGTATGAAATGTTTGCACTTTATTTGATGTAGGTAGTGAACATATGCATTGTTCACGGCTCTGTTTCTGTTATTCATTGGCTCTGCCAAGAGTCGGCGGGAGGGTGTTGAATATTGTTCAGTACCGTACCGTATCGTTTAGCGCCTGTACCGTACAGTGATTGACCGCTAGCGACATCTATTAGTTGGATTGGGTTGTGCGGATTGTGGCCGCTGCCGACTGTGGCTCTGTTAGCTGCGACTTTGGTATGTGGCGCGCGGTGATTGGCCTTGACCCCGAGCAGCTGTGCCACGCCCGCGCACAGACAGCTGTTTTCGGTTTTGTGTGGCATTGTGGCTTTTTCTGTTGGCACGGTTGGAGGCGTTTCCCCAATACAGTGCATCGGATTTTTGATTCTGCTTGGTCTTCTTCGCCTGCTACGGCCCGGCCCGACCCTGCGATTCAGCGGTCGACTTTATTCGGAAACAAACGGATTTTCAATTGGCATAATAACACTAGGTCGTTTATAACACCGCACTTATTTTGCAGCTACAATTGACTTACCGTGAGGAGGCAGATGAGGCCGAATAGTACCTCGCAGGCCGTTCCCGGGAAGTTGATGTACAGGGCGCTGACCGGAATCATCACCAGGACCACCACGGCCTCCAGGATGTGAGACCGCCACATCAGACTCCTCCTGCGACAAGACACATACAGAATGTATAGGACATACCTACAAAGTATTCGGAACATGGAAGACAAATGACATACAACTCATACCAGGCATACAGGACGGCTTTCAGACATCTGAGGTCGAGTCAACTCACGACAATGTGAAATAATAGCACGGCCAAAGCATAAATACTACACCGACAGGGTGTCCCATAAGTTCCTTCTCACCTAAATTTTTCTTTTAGAGGCTCTCTTATTTAAAGCCACGCTTAATTTATTTTGTAACTGAGCTTTTGGGGTTGCCATGGCAACTGTGAATGTGCTCCACGGTAACTTATTCGTCTAGACAAAATATTTTTTGCCAGAGAGTTCACTTCCTGTGCAGACGGCTTACGCCGCAACATAGAGGTCTCCGATACGGGAACGTCTCGGTATTTAGTCCGCACTGGGCCATTCACGACGGTTGAGGGTGATTGAGGCCATCCAGTATGTAGCCAATGTCTGTCGCTAACTGGACGCACAGTCAACAAGTGACGCCGATGATTTGTCGGGAGTCAATCGCTGCAAGTTTATACTCTTTTTTGTCAGCTTTCACGAGTGAGCCATGTGGCTAAAACTGTGTGGCGCCAAAATGGCCGTCAAAAAGGTCTTAGCGTTAGAAAGTTGGTAAACAGACTTTTCAGGATGCATTACCAGCTGTCTAAGAGTATCATTTCGGGGTACCTAACTCAAGGTGACTTAAGCTCTACTTACCGGAGGGCTCAAAACAGTCCAAAACGTCTTAAAATGGCCAAACATGTGTTTCGTTATGCCTGAGGCTAAAAAAACTGGAGGGCCGATGACATCAATGTGGTCATATTCTGGACTACCTAGTCCGTGCTCGAGATAAAACACCGGTCCAAACCCCAAAACGGTCCCATATGGGCGACGGAAAAGGCTTTTATGTCATCCCGCTTTATTCCTATGCAAAAGGCTAGGGTCACGGTAATGTGGGGTAATATGCGTCCAGACACTGATCACGTTGCGATTGATACTCCAGAAACAGTCTTGGGACGCAGAATGCTTCTCCAAGAAGATCTAGTAGGAGTTTCAGCTTTCTAGCTTAACTCGAACCGCAAGTATGACCACATTTTTTTAGGAGAAAATGGCATCCGGGAGGTCGTAGGCCCATCTTCAAGCAAGACAGTGCATCAGTGCACAGGTCAAGCAAAGCTTAGAAGCAGTGCCAGGAGACTGTGATAGGCGTGTGTGGTAAGATCACATCCCAGCCAACTCATCGGATCCAAATTTCATAAGAATGTGTTGGGAATATTGAAATCGAGGCTCGTCGAAGCGAAGCGGTGTTCCAGCATTGAGGAGCTCACGGCGCATGCCAAGTCAGTCTGGGCTAACTTCAAGCCTGCTATGCTACCAAACATGCCGGTTGGCATGTCGCAGCATGTATTCATGTGTTTGCCATATGAAATGGGGAGCACATTGAGGGGTTATAAACATTTCAAAACGCAATGTACTCTGTTTTACATGCAAATATAAGGTGAGAACGAACTTATGGGACACCCTGCAGTACACCGTTCCGTGCTTCAATCCTCAGGATACTGAAATCCTTCTCCTCCACGCCGCAACTCCCCTCCGGGCTGGACAGGCAACTTTATCTCATGCGGGCTGCTCCCTTGGAGCGGCACCGCTGCTCCCGAGGGAGCGCACCCCGTAGCCGGGTGCAGTGAGTGCCTTGGGGCTGGGTGGCCTGTCCTCTGGACGGGCTCAGCCCCGGCGACTCACTAGGGTGCCTGCCCAGACCAATGTCTCCGTCTCCCCCTATATCTTATCATCCTCCCGGCTCTGAAATGGTCTCATTGGACCGAAAGAGCCTAACCCAACAAAACAAACAAAAACAAACAAACAAACCGGTGTAGTACTAGGAAATAGGAACCGTAAGCCAAACTTCTAGACCCGATTTAAATGCCCAAACAGTTGGAGTTCTAGCAAGACGGCATTCACAAACTATAGCGTTTAATAAAACTCAATTCGCTAACGGCAAGGGTCTATGGGGTGCACAGGATAACTCAGCACGCACCATTCGTTGAGGCGACAGGTGACATCCTCGGCGGCCGGGTCGATGAGTCCTATTGTAAGCGTGGCTCTCACAAACAGCAGCAGCACGGTGTCAATGATGAGCAGGATGGAGGCCGGCACCAGCACGCCGTAGAACAGGGTGGAGTCGCGCATCATCCACCACGAGCGCAGCAGGTGCCAGCCGTGGGTGACCTGGACGGTGATGGTGGCCGCCGTGACCAGAGCGGGTACACCTGTCGGCACAAGCCACGATGTGTCAACGACAGTGTTACATACAGTCGTTGAATCAGGATAATTTCCGTTTCAAGCCCGCTATGCAATGCACTTGGCAAACCGCCTTCACTTAAAAAAGAATGAGACGGTAAAAGGAAAAGTCAATCGAGCCGTAGTTTTACAATGCATGCGATAAAAATGAAATCGTCAAAAAGTAATGATCAAAGTAATATGCAAGCGAGCCACATTTACCGGTGGAAATGAAGTAGGCGATGAATTTGAAGTACTTGGGGTCGCCGCCCATTTGCTTGAGCCGCAGCTGTTCTCCAAAGACGTGCATCTTGATGCCCATCTGGGTGCTGATTGCCGAGAGCACGAGAAACTGCAGGAAGGCGCCGCAGCCGGCCATCCAGGCGATGCTCTGCAAAAGCGATAGACATCGACCAATATACCGTTCACCGTTCGCTGCCATCACTGCCATACCAGTCAGTACAGTGCCGTATCAGTCATAACTGGCGAACAGGTTAGGTGGAGCATGGTCAAACTATCAAGCTATCCAACCCAGCACGTGGAGTCAGCCACGTCACCGTTCCATGCTTCCATCCTCAGGATGCAGAAATCCTTCTCCTCCACGCCGCAACCCCCCTCCGGGCTGGACAGGCAACTTTATCTCATGCGGGCTGCTCCCTTGGAGCGGCACCGCTGCTCCCGAGGGAGCGCACCCCGTAGCCGGGTGCAGTGAGTACCTTGGGGCTGGCCGGCCTGTCCTTCGGGATGGGCTCAGCCCCGGTGACTCACTAGGGTGCCTGCTCAGACCAATGTCTCCCCCTAATTCCTATCATCCTTCCGGCTCTGAAATGGTCTAATTGGACCGAAAGGGCCTAACCCAACAAAACAAAAAAGTCAGCCACGTCCTGACCAAGCTAACCTAACAAACCGCTCAAGATAGCACATACAGGGTGACACAAAAAAAAACGGTCATCACCAAATTTCGAATAACTTCGGAAGTTTTATTCAGATCATCACCAAACTTCGGCCACTTAAGGTCACACCTATGTAGCATACATCCACCAAATTTCAAGTCTTCACTACGAATACTTTTAGTACAGTGTGTGTTTTACTGACGCTCCACAATGTGCTCCAGGTGAGCGCCACGGCGCTGCAGGGCGTAGGCACACTTGCATCCGGCGGGCAAAGTTGTCGATAACCCGGTGGCTGTGCACTTTAGAGAGTGCAATGGCCTCTGGAGACAGTACTCAGGGGGTGTGCTACCCCTGAAACGTTATTCTTATCGGGTCATCGGCAACTTTGCCCGCCGGATGCAGGTGTGCCTACGCCCTGCAGCGCCGGGGCGCTCACCTGGAGCACATTGTGGAGCGTCCGTAAAACACACACTGTACTAAAAGTATTCGTAGAGAAGACTTGAAACTTGGTGGATGTCTGCTACATAGGTGTGACCTAAAGTGGCCGAAGTTTGGTGATGATCTGAATAAAACTTCCGAAGTTATTCGAATTTTGGTGATGACCGCTTTTTTTGTGTCACCCTGTATTTAACAGCGCACCCTACCTGGTCACCAGCACCACAGGCTCTTACATATTGGCACCTAACCGAGTATGGTCACCATCAGACTTCTAGGTCCTAACCGATGCTGTCAATCCTGCATTCGGTGCAGTCACCCCTACACAGTATACTGCAGCCCTCCCTAACTCGGTGTCGCCATCAGTTCCCATCAAACTTCGTGTGCCTCCAGTTCTTCATCTCGTGTTTCCCGCTCACATTGTGCGTTACCGTCCCCTCACCTTATGCGTATCGCCAGCGCAGACCAGGATAACCGCGAACGCAGCGAAGAGCACCAGGCTGCTCTGCAGCTGCAGGCCGGCTGGCACCGAGCGGCGGCGCCACCAGTGTACCAGCAGCGCCAGAGACGTGTACAGGAGTACCAGCAGCGACAGCACACAGCCCACCACCACCGGTACGTGCAGAGTGAGCAGCATGTAATCCAGCGGCTGAGGGGGAGAACGGGGGATATGGTGACGATTGTTGACTACGGAGGCATGATATAATGGAAGAGGAAGGCTCGATAGCCAGTGTAACGAATACAACGATATCCTTTAATGTCAACAGTAGACCATTTACTGCCTTATGAAAAAAAAAACAGCTGAAGTTGACGAGAAATGTCTTCATAAGCTTGCTTACTACACTGACATATGTTTTCAATTGATAAGATCGACTGATAAGTCTAACACCAAATACATCAATGTCACCCCTCTGCGGGGTAGCAATAACCTATCAGAAGCAAGTTTTACGTCAGGGCCCATCCCTCCCAGTTCTTTCTCTCGCCAGACCGCCCATCCCTCCCGGTTCCCTTTCTCGCCGAGACCCGTTCCCCACTCACAGAGGGTTCTTGCGTGACCAGCGCCAGCGCAAACGTTCCCAGTCCCTGGCAGCTGCAGTTGACGCTGTGGTTGCTGCGACTGAGCTGACAGGCGTCCAGTCTCCACCGGCCGCCGCTGGAGAGCTGGGCACAGCTGTGGCGCTGACTGGACTCGTTCCAGCGCGCTGAGAGCGGCTCCAGGCTCAGTGTCATCTGGGAAGAGGAGGTGCAAGGAACGGTAAACCAAACGATGGGGCATACTGCTTCTATGTAAGATATAGCTTTTATTTTAACCTATGTTATGAAGACCAATCTCGAAACGCTAGGTTGTTACACAAAACATAGAGCATCGCCTTCTCTTATCGCCCATTTAAAAAAGATCTTTGAGTACCGACGCCAATTATATTAAATGAGCTGACTTGCATACACCGGCTTGCACCAGCTTCATTACACCACACACAGACGGGCACACATACACATCATGACTCTGGTTTATGGTCTGGGCATAGACTGGTTCTCAATGGGGGAGCCTCTTAACCCTCGCGGGCCCGGGGGGGGGGCGTTTTTCGCCCCCCCTGGCGAATATTTGCGATAACTCCCGAACGCTTAGGGATAGGAAGGCGAAACTTTCAGTACCTTTTCTCCCATCAATTTGACATCTTCTGAAGTAAAAAATTGGACCTAGCCCCCTTGATGACGTCACAAGGTCCATTTTTCTAGACCCCTGCACGGCAAACTTCGGCGTCACAGACGCAAACTTCAAATAGCTGCTAAAAATAGAGTTTTAGAGATAAAGACAAATTACGAGCACGGCTGTGTAGAGTTTGACCTAGAGAAAAATAGAAAAATAGTTTTGGTGACCTGAGGTCAGAGGTCAGGTCAACGACCCCGAAATGTGGTTTTAGTTTTTCGCAAATAACTTCGACAAAATGGTCCTAGAGCTACGGCAGTGGTACCATCGCATTCGCCTTGTCAAGCCGCGTCGAATGATATATATTTTGTTTGGAAAAGGTCAAGTTTCATGTTGACCTCATGTGACCTCGAATGACCTCTGGTTGACCTTGACACATGAAAGGTCGTTTATGATGGATTTGTACCCGCTGATCACGAATCTGGCATCTGTTTTCCTCTAAGCCTTCATTTAGAGCTTCCGGATGGCAAAATTGTCTTATTTATTATTACTAACTTAATAAGTGAAATAGCCTCTAGCAGGGATACTCTTGTGTGACCTTGACCTTTGAGCAGCCTTGTATCGTAAGATGAACCACAAATAGGGAACTGATAAGCCTCAAAACATTTCAAAACATCTTGGAAGTTAGCACGCAAGATGTGCGAAAAAGTGCTAAGTTTGAGGTCAATTTTGAGCGTGACCTTGACCTTGACCTTTGATTTAGAGCACATTTTCAGGATTCTCAGATTCTCTTCTTTCGTTTGACACCCAATTTTGCCGGTTTGATGCAGCCTGCCGTCCTCTAGAAGGCTTACTTTGAGATCACTACACATGTGCCGGTTTTGGCCTTTGACCTTGACCTCTGACCTTGAAAATTGACCTGAGGTCAAAAATTTTAGGTGCATTAGAATCGTCTCGTAAGGACCTTTCGTTTGGTATCGCTTTTGTTTCCGTAGCTCTCTTATTTACGGAGTTAGACAGGGGGGGCGAAAAACGCCCCCCCCGGGCTGCGGTGGTTGGGATTACCCCCCGGGCCCGGCCGGGTTAAGACTGGCGACTTCAAGGCGGCGCAGCCCCTCACCTGTACAGACGGAGGGAATGGACTCTCCAGTAGACGCGGCTGTTTGCTCAGTCCAACAGAGACAATGTGAGAATCGAGTAGGAACCGCTCTCCCGAACGACCCAGCTCCTCGCCGCTAGGGCACAGGGGACACGATGCGTCAGGGAGGCAGCCAAGAGGTCAGACAGGTCAGACAGGGTCAGACAGGGTTCCATGGTGTAACGGAAAAGCATTTAAATGCGATGATCTTTGCAGGGGACATCAGGAACAGCATACAGGAAAAGGGGGTTTGGCCTGACTGGACCTCATTACCTTTTAACACCGACCTCTTGGACAAAACATTGGTTAGAAAGCTAAAAATATATACATTATGCACTGCACAATACACACGAATGTTCATCGGATTCCACCCTGCACGACTCAGCCGCCCGGCGACTCACCTATCGTCGGGTACGACTCACTTGTCGTCGGGTATGTAGCTGTGCGGGTAGAGGGCGCGCGTGTGCCGGTGGACGACCATCACCAGACCGAGCTCTGAGGCCGGCACCACGTGCGAGCGCCACGGCTGCGTGGGGCCCAGAGAGATCCCTGCCGCCGACCGCATCCAGCGCGGACGGCTGAAATAGGTGCAGCGGGGTATCGGTTTCAGTAGATCATCAGCAGTACAAGGGTATCGATTGGAGTGGATACACTGCAGGAGGGTCGGCATCAACAAATCACCATCCGTTACAAAACCAGAAGAGTGGCGCTGGTGTTCTGATCGTGTTGAGGTTCAGAGTAGCTGACTTCTTTCTCTATTACATCACGTTCGCTGAGCTTTGTGGCTCAAGTCCACTTACTTGTGCATGTGGAAGGGCGTGACGACGAACATGCCGTCTCCGTGGTAGGGCAGCAGGCGGGTGGTGATGAACATGTCGTCAGGGTGCGGGTCGATCGGCTCTCGAACAAACACTCGGCGCAGCAGGAAGTTCAGGTTGGCCGCCAGCAGCTCCGCCTTGTGCTGGAGGGTCACACGGGAGGGGGTCAGCGGCGGGAGAGGGGATGAGCATGGCGCAGGTCAGCGCCACGGTAGCAGCAGCAGGAAGAATAAAATCAAAATCAGAAGACCAATACGTCCCACGTCAGCCGTGTGCAAGGCCGAAAAGCGACCATCTGTGAGCTGATGCTTTGTCCCTACTCCCTACAGCCTCACCTACCCCCGTCTAAATCCCGATCGCTCTTTCCGTCCTTGTCCGAGCCAAACCACACGCTGCACGACACTTACCCAGTTCTTCATCCCAGATCATACCTTCTCTCAGTTACTGAGCTTTCTCCCCCTATCTAGCTTTCGTCTAGTCACTATCACCTCTGGTCGGCCCCTGTCACACCTAAACTCGTCACGACCCATCTCCTCGCTAACCTGATCGCTGAGCTGTCCGTCTCCTTCCGTCCCGAGCAGCGGCGCCACCGTGTGTATAAAATCCTGCTCCACCTCCTTCAGCTGCTCGTCCGTCGCCACCTTCAGCACGTAGGACGACATGCCGACCAGCACACTGCGGAAGCTCTCCACCTCGGAAGCCAGCAGACGGGCTGGCTGCCGGTCCAGCGCCGCCTCCACACGGCGCTTTAGCACTTCGTGCACATCGGCCAGAACGGACTCCGGACTGGTGACGTCATATCCGGCCATCAGCTGATCCACCTGCCCGGAGATGGCGTCATACCAAGCGTGTTATATGCGGTAGGGGGATGTTATATCGACGCTGCCAAGGATCTAAGAGCTCTTATGAGTCCCATTTCGACAGATAATTGCATACTAAAAGTAAAGGCCATTGCTATTCTTTCTAAAGCAACTAGTTTACTGCAAACTGCACAGTGGCGCAGGCTTTCCATTTTCAGCTACTCATCAAACACAATGGAATCTGATGAGATAATGGCATGGATATACGTTCTTATCCACTTCAATTCTCAGTTATGAGTGCTCAGTGTCTGGTAGAGTAAACATCAGCGTGGTTGCTATCTCTTGCCTGTTTTTGCAGCACGAACAGCTCTCGGTCGACGCAGTCACTGAAGTCAGGCGGTCCCCAGTGCGCCTGAGAGGTGGCTGCTATCTCACACGTCCGTCGGGCAAAGCGGGCGGGCACCTGTCCGTAGAGGTTACCGACACATCACTGGAGGGCTCGTAACACCGCAACGGAGACAGGAGTGACAGAGAAACGATGTAGTCAAACGAATGTGTTGGGAGGTAATGGTGCTTGTGACGGTGCTATTTTGCTAACACCATCCACTGCCATATATCACCCAATACCACCCAAAGTATGACTCCCTAACCTAATCAGCAAATGTGTGACCTGTGTCTGGGTAACTAGATCAGCGGGATTCACCTTGATGACCCGTCCCGGCAGCTGGATGTCCTCATCATCCCCGGGACAGGGCTGGATGTCCTCTCTGCCGACCGCCGTCTCCTGCCAGGTGATGTTACCGTCCCTGACCCCAGGACAGGTCGTCTGGCCGGGGGTGATCACCAGGACGTCGGCGGTGACACGGTTAGAGGCTGCTGGCGGTAGGTGCGCGAAACACTCGTACCGGGCCGTCTGCAAATGGACCCGGGTGGCAAGATGGAGATGCGAGGCATGAACTGGCATGAACAATGACCGTACTACGGAGGGTACCACGTTCGAAAGAATGTGTCAAGCTTCGTCGCAGAAGTCGAAAAGAGCATGCGAGAATAATGTGCGATGCGTGACGTTCACTTCGTAAATGCATCCGCCATCCATCCAAACATAGCTACGCAGGCGGGTGCGTGGCTTCAGTGCCATTTCCGTATTGATATGGCCCGCGAGTCATCAATGTTATGGTAGAAACAGTTTATGTTCCCCGTAACAAGAGCGTAAATCATGCTGTGTTTATATTGTAACGCACAAGAGGCACTAACTTACTGCCGTTACGGACATCTAAGCGTAACGCCGGTACCAAGGCCCTATATACCGCCGGTACAGTCAGCGCAAACTAAACAAATCACTGTTGAACATAAAACGAAATTGATACTGCATTTGTTGAGCGACACCATTGCACTAGTCACATCACACAGTGAACCTTGGTTATCAAAATATTGATCATATCGTCCGGTAGGAACTGATTCGCATGATTGTGACCAAAGGTCCATCCCAGGCGCCTTTTTTGATTTTGGCCGCGAACATTTAAGATTTCTTCAGAAAAAAAAATCACGGACAACATCGTTATTTAAGCTTATGGGGCCCAGCCATCCTCACCTCTGGCTCTCTGATGACGAGCACCGAGCTGCCCCAGCAGTAGGTGACCACCTGTTCGTGATCCTGTGACGTCAGCAGATGGAACGGTCCGCGGCCCACCGCCTTCCTCCAGCTGATGGTCGTCTGGTCGCGGTTCTGTTTACTGCTCCTCAGGGTACAGGTGATAGTGACATTCCGGCCCTGAGGTCGTACACAGAAACGCCGTCAGTCCGTTAACGAATAGCATCGTAAATTTAGCATAACGATGGCAGATATACACCTATCCAGTTTGGTAGAATGCTTAACGTCCGTTATTTAGTCATTTAACATCATAAAACATTGACGTAAGTCATAAAACACCATTCACTAAATGGCACTAAAATGTCATCGCTCATTCAACGGGTTCCAGCTCTGGCAGTCCTTACGGACCTGATCTGACAGATCTGACCTCACTCGCCTAACCTCATTGGTTTGCCGTCACTCTGACATCCCTGGCACGTCACTCACGGGTCGGACGGTGGCCAGCGGCGGTGTGACGTGCAGCGCCAACTGCAGCGAACTCAGCCTCAGCTGGATGGTGCGCCGCACCGGCTCGGCGCTGTGTCTGTCAGCGGCCTGACACTGGAACCAGCCCTGGTCCTCGGGCACCAGCCGGCCCAGCGTCAGGTAGTGGTTGTGCGACTCGCCGCCCAGACGGTACCGGCTCTCACTGACGTGGTGATCCCTGAACGGAGACGGTCGGACGTCAGGGAGGGTCTCGTCGCATTGAGGGAGGTCGGGCCAAGTCAGTACGTTTCAGGTCCAGATCAAAGTCGGGTCGGACCGAGTTGGGTTCCAGGTCGACTCAGGCTGGGCTATGTTAGGATAGGCTAGGCCGGGTCGTATCGGATAAGGTCAGGTCGGTTCCGATAAGATTGGGTCATGTCGGGAAGGGTCATGTAAAAGACATATTTGATAATAAAATTCGTTATATTGCTTCGAAACATATCTTTTGATGCTCTGTTGTGAACGTGTAACTTCGGAAACGAGTTTTTCCCATATGGCCTCGGCTCTCGGGTTCATGGTACTTCGAGTGACAATTTCTCGAAACCGCACTCAAAAACTTATTCCATTCAGTGAAAACGAAAAGCAGTAGAAGTCCGACCATGGCTTTGGACAAAAACGAGTTCAGCGACGAACAACAGCGCCCCCCCCCCCCTCCCGCCCCCTGACGGTCAGCCGCGCCTGAGGGCAGGGGTCGGCACCATCAAACCGCTGCCGCCGTCCATCTCAGGGCAGCTCCCGTTCCAGCGTCTCGTCTTCACCGCCTGTAAGGCACGCAGCGCGCGGCGCCGGGCACACGAGCCGCCGGAAAAACGGGCGGTTACCGTCGAGAGGGGCTCTCCTGTTACAGAGTCGTGCACGTCTGAGTCTGGGTCGTGCACGGACTGTTTGGACCGCCTGGACCCGCCGAGATGAGGGGACGGGTAGCTCCCGAGGGCAGAGGCCACCAACTAACGCCGCTGGAATGCAGCCCCAATCCGAGCTCCATGCTCGTGGCCTAGTCGAGGCCGGATGTGATGTCACACGAGTGTTGCTGTTTGGTCAAAATGCGAGGTGACACGGAGGAAACAAAGTTATTGTGGAGTGTGCAATGATTGAGAGAAAAACAGGCAACTAGCAAGACATCGGACTTATCCCAATTCCCATTCAGGCGACCTGTTCATCGTAAAATGGTATTCCGGCTGGACTGAAGGTTCAACCGCTTAGAATAAACTTATTATGTAAAATCATAGCGTGGTGGACTACACCTTTTGTCAGTTTATTTCGGGGCGTAATCGTCCATTTTAGAACTAACGAAATGTGTGTAGACATACCGCAATATTATGTACAAGAATCACATAATATCTCGGCGCAGGTCAGGCAGTCGGCGGTAAAGCATTCAATTTCGGCACAGCGGCAAAACGCTCCATTTTCAGCGATAGCGCAAGTAGAATCGGCTGCGCCAGCACAGGTTTAGAGGTAGCGCACGCTATTTAGCAACAGTAACAACCAAATTCGGCACTGTTCATTCAATTTCGGCGGGTAACCGGAGGCACCCAGGTGATTCATATTTTCAGGAACGCTTCTTGAGCATCAAATGAATCCTCATACAGCTTTGTGGCTTTGAGATATTCTCAGGGGGAGAAAAGCAGGCCATTGTTTGTTTAGCGTCACAGTACCTACCTAAGATCGTTTCGCTGTTTCCCGTTTCGAATTTTGATGTGAAAATTGATAAACTTTACTGAATTTGTACTACTTATCCTAAAAAGATAACATCTGTGGGCTGGTTTCTTTTTTATATTACAGTACCCGCTCCTGTCCGCACATGGCGGACGACGATCGACAAGGCAAACGCCAATCGTTGTTGGACTCAAGGCAAGCCCCGATTCTCTTTCATTGAAGCACGTCTGTGCTGTTGTCACTGTGTGCCAAGTTTTTGCCCGAGACATGAACCCATTTTATCAAAAGACCTGTTATTTTACTTCACTTTGAAAGCAACTCATCACCTCGTCAATCAAACACACAATTAGCTCAGCCATACCAGAATAAGTCCTACCAATCGGTTATCGTTGCACTTCCTGTTATCATCTCCTATTAACACGCGCACTGCAGGGGGGGGTTGTTTTCAACCCCCCCTGTGGTTTTTCGCAAATTGCGAGAAAACGGCGGCGTGTAGCGCCGCCAAATTTTGCATACCTGTTCTCACGACTTTTGCACACCTTGAGTAAAAATTTTGAACCCAGGTGACCTATGGTCAGGTCACCAGGTCAGGTCAAGTGACCCTACCTCGAAACGTAAATTTCGAAGTTTGCAATCCCACCAAGCCCACAGTTGTTGAGATATGATCTTGAAACCCACAGGAAATAGTAAAGTCATCACGAGCTACAACTTGTATATCTCGGAATTTTTATATCGATGACCTAAGGTCAGGTCATTTTTGCGACCGGCCCATTATAAGTCAATGGGAGAAATTTCAACTTACTCTGAATGCCATCCTATGACTTCAATACGCTCAGGATCATAGTATTACAGGTCCCTGTTGGTGATTTCACCGAAACATATCACTTATGACCTTTGGAAGGTGATCTCCAGGTCATCTTAGGTCACCTGAGGTCACCAGCGGTTTCTCTTCAATAACTTGATATTGAGTAGAGATAGAGACTCCGTTCGACGTTTATCGTGTTTTTCTCGTCAATGCGGATCGAATGATATGCAACATGACCTATTTCGGTCAGGTCATGACCTTGACCTGAGGTCAAATTTTCAACTTGACCTTTCGAGGTCATATTATATATCATTCGATGCGCCTTGACGAGCTAAGAACGATGGCGTTCGAATCGATCCTCTATCTTGTGTGTAAGACAAGTTATTCAAGAAAAACTACCGCGAAATTCCTGTTGTGAAAATCGTAACATTTTGTCTTCGGTGACCTCTGGTGACCTCGTTTTTGACCTGACCCAAAAATGATCTTTGTATTTCTTGTCGATCTCATCTTAACCTATCCAACGCCGTTTACCGCTTGTCGCTACGTTGCGCCGTTTTTGAGATCTCAGGGGGGGTTGTTTTCAACCCCCCCCCCTGCAGTTCGTGTTCGGCTCAGACCCGCTGCAGTGCGCGTGTTAATCAACTGCCAGCGTGAAATATCAAACATCCCTTACCTACTGTGTGCAGAAGGACACGAAAATAAATTAATCATTCCGAACCGTATCATCACGCCTCCCCTCACCCCACCCCACCCCCACGAACACCACCAGACCCAGAGGCTTAGCGCCAACATTTTAACCCGTCCCATGGACAAGACTCGTAGTTGCGGCAGGTGTATTCCCCCCCCCCCCTCCCTGAGCATCTGACTGTCCATCCGGCGCTCGGCGCATCCTTTCAACAACCGCGCGACGACACCGGGCGACGGGCGTCTCTGGCGCATTGGCGGGGTCAAAGTTCAGTAGTCGCGTACCCTGTCGGCCTGGTTTTGTTCTCCGCCAGCTTCGTTATAAGCAGGTGCCTATGCACTTATGTTATTTGTACTTCCTTGATAGAAATTAATAGGCACATTGTAATGTTTGTTTAACCCACAGAAAGCACGAACATGAAATCATGCTCATCGCTGGCGATGGCGAAAGGAATATTCGACCATAACGGAGAGGGTGGAGGGCCGGAGGCATGCACTCAAGTCCAGACAATGAGACAGTAGCAACAGTAAACACCTTGAAAAACGTTTGACTTAATAACAATGCTCCAACAAGCTAATTTTGTAAGCAAGAAGTCTCTGCTTGCTTCCAAATAGCCACCGAAATTGAATGAATATCGCCGAATTTGGTTGCTGCTGTTCTAAATATCGTGCGGCCGTCTCCAATCTCCAGCAGCATCGCCGAAATACAATGCGGACACGCCGAAACCGGGCGTCTTTTGCTGCTGCGCCGAAATTAAATGCTCTAATGCCGATCACCGCTATAAACGGCCGACATGCAATGCTATACTGATACATAGCTTTGCGGTATGTCTACAAAGAATCCGCTAGGTCTAAAATGGACGCGCACGTACCGAAATAAACTGACAAAAGGTGTAGTAGCCTACTTTGAAATGTGAAGAATACCTACTTATGGTTGAATAGTGAGCGTTAAGATATTTACAAGCAAGATGATTCCATTTTGCCCCGCGCCAATATTCTCGTGGAGTTGCCCACGTGCAGTCCAGACCAACTCAGGATACATAGGGGAAGTTGGGGCAATGCCGGAGTTGGGGCAAAGCCGAAATTCGAGATATTTCGAAAACCGTAAGACATGGATGCCACCTGTCAGTGATGCTCTGAAGCTTAAGTGACTACAATTATCGCATGTTTGTTACGAATCGTCATTCGGAATACTTCGGCTGTGAGGGCGCCAAGAGCGTTTTCAAGGTACGCGTTCCTTGTACTACATGCGCCTTTGAAGCTGCATTTCTTACTCATTATGCTACCGTTTGTATGGCCAATTCGGTCACGTAATCTTCAGCATGTCTTTGCATAAGTGTGCTGCCTATTTCAGAAATTTATACGGCACGTTGAAAAGTTATGGGCCTGCAAATGAAAGTATGGCTGGCTGGGGTAATGCCGAAAACGTGCAATTACGCACGTTAAAGCACGCTACGTGGACTTTACTGCTGTAGAATAGCAACGCGAATTTTTAGTCACACAAACTATACTTTCAACCGACACAACGGCCTGTTACCTTTAAGGAATTATTTACCTGACATTTTCTTATTATATCACACAATTATAACTTCCAGTGTGCACCAAGGGTCCTCAAGCTCTTAAAACGCGTGTCAGCTTTGATAAATTCTGCATAAAGTTTGAGATAAAGTGGCAAAACATCAATGTCGGCATTCCCCGTAGATCATTTCTCCCATTTTCGGCTTTCCCCGCAGTCCGGGGCAACGCCGAAAAAGTCACTTCTTTGATATTTTTAGTTTGTGCGCTTAACGGTATGCGAATTCATCAAATGCGCCTGGTATGTTTGAAAGGCAAAAGACTGGCCTCTCGAATGACGCCAACAAGAATAGCTTATGTTGTCTACCTTGCGTGCTACGGGCGTCAGAAAAAAAGTATTCGGCGTTCCCCCAACTTCCCCTATGTATATTCATTCGAGTCCAGCCCATAACTGATATTGACGTTTATGCAATATGGACATATCAGCCACCAAACTGACCACCGACCTGGCTGGGCTG